ACTCGGCGTGTTGAAAAACATAATTAGGCTAGGCATTCTCAGAAAGTACATTTCCATTAATATTAATTAATGCTAACAGCTGGTAAGAGAAAGCAGGCCAGACAGACCTGCTTCTGGGTCAGGTGTAAAATCGTATTGTACTCAAGTTATGAGTCATTTCAGTCACCGACTTACTTTGCCGAAGACCCGCACTGTGTACATTATGTTTGAGAAATGCCATGCCTGCTGTCACACAGATTAAAATTTGTCACACAAAATAAAATTTAATGAAGGTCCCGTCCTCAGCGTCAGAAAAACAAACCACCCCTAGGCGGTTAGGCTCAGTGGATAGAGCTTCAACCTGCAGACTGAAGGGTTCAGGGTTTGATTCCGGTCAAGGGCACATGCCCAGTGTTGCGGGCTCAATCCCCAGTAGGGGGCGTGCAGGAGGCAGCTTGATCAATGATTCTCCCTCATCATTGATGTTCCTATTTCTCTCTCCCCGTCCCTTCCTCTCTGAAATCAATAAAAGTATATTTTTTTAAAAAAAAGAAAAACAAACTAAAAACTATTACGTTACATTAATGGGGGGACCGACTGAGTCATAGCCACCCTGTACCTGTAACATTTCTCAGCCTCCTACAAATGTCTGCTTCTGTACCTGAATCTCCTCATTATAGTAACCTTTCCGAGGTCAGGCCTTCCCATCATTGTATCTGCTTAACTCCCGGTAATTAACTCCTACCGGGCAGCTTTCTGGCTTCCAAACAATTCTAAGATGGGTTTGATGGCACTCCTTTGCCCCAGGCCCAGTGATGACTGTTAACGGGATTTTCCCTACACAGCTCTGCGGTCCAGAGGAGGCGAGGAAGCATATGGGAAAAGCCATCCGGGGCCCACTGCAAACAACCACAAAGTAAGACGGACACTGATAGGTAATGTGGCTTCAGCTGCATCGGAGGTGTAGAAGGGCCTGGGAAAGGGGGTGAGCTGGGAGAAACCTCTCACTTTAATTAACCTCCTAACAAGCCCCTTTCCTTCCAGGAGCTCCGCCCCAACACATGGAAACCGAAGACAGGATGATGCAGAAGGCAGTTCCGAATGTTACAATCACAGCATCTTCTTTGCAAACATCAACTACCACGGGTGGTGAGATGATTAGTCAACATCTCTACCCTCTATAATGCCCACGAAGTGCATGTGTACGGTAAGAAATACAAATTAACTAGTTGTCTTATAAAAACGTATAAGATTAAACACTTATTTAATTAAAGATTAAACACTTATCTCCCCCGCCCCCCTTTATTTTTTCAATAGATCATTACACAGGAAGGTGCCTTGTAAAAGTTTCCAAGTATTATTTTAACATAAAGAACGAAAACGTCAACTACTGCAAAATATTTACTGGAAGTCATTTTAAAAGAAAAAAGGGATGGGGGGGCCAGATCCTAAAGAAAAGCTGGAAAATCTAAATGCCTACTACGAAGAAGTCATGTTCAATACAATCTACATTCATAATTGGGTATTTGCAGTGCATATAGTTTTTCTCTTAATAGCTAGCAGGAGGCTGGTTGGAAGAATCAGCCTCACACAATGGCACACCAACCTGCAGGGTAAAACTGAGTGACAGGGAATGTCACTTTGGTGTGTTCTGTTCTCGTCTAAGAGCATGTAGTTGCCTCTATTTAAGTGTGTGTGTGTGGGGTGGGGGGGGGGGGGGAATAACCAGGTGCATTATCCAAATGTTCCGTTACCAGGGACACGAAGAGTTGTCAATCCATGGCGATTTCATTGCTGTTTTTTTTACACAAATCATCGCTTTGCGAGCGCTGATGTTAAAAACAGAAAGGCAGTCTAGTACACAGTGGCTATAAATGCCAAATCAATTTTCAGCAGATAATAAAGTCCATGTTTTACAATCAGCAATGCGCTGTTTTACTACCTAAAAATGTAAGCTAATAATATATAGCTCCGCTAAATGGAAAATGCAGATACGCCGGTAAAAAAAAATCGGGCTGGCCGTGTGAGGATGGCTCTTTGCTGCAGGGACCGTCTCCGAGCTATGTGTAAGTGTTTTGAAAATATCACATGATGTGGCCATGTGTTAAGAATTACAGCCAGTTAAGTTCTCTGCTAAGAAAAATATGTGGGCAATTTATGAAATGCACTCCAGAATGGAGATGTCTTAAGTGAAACCAGATTTTGAAAACAAACCTTTTTCTTTTTCTTTTTCTTTCTTTTTTTTTCCCCTTGAAACTTGAACTTAAAAAAAAAAAAAAAGTTCCATGCACATCTGGAGAGCAGGGCCATTGAGAAGGGTGGTCTGACCTCATATTAGCCATCTTCTGAGAGAACAGCACTGGTTCTGAGCTCCACGGCCTGCGCTCGCTTATTGTCCTTTTAAGGAAACAGCCCGGAAAGCATTTTTTTTTTGGAGGTCAACATGTGTTCTTTGATAATATTATACAGAGATTGATTAAAATTATAAATGTTCCAGAAAGCTGGGAGCCATCTCTTGAAACAATCGAATACCCAAGCGATCACAACCTTCTCATAAGAAAAACATTTTCCGTCTTTTCTTCTCTCAAACCCGGGGTCTAGCTATTACAAAGTGACAGGCAGTGAAATGATAGCTCCTTAGACTGAATTAAGCCATACACATCGCTGAATTGATTTCTTTACAGCATGTCTGGCCTCTTCTGACTTTTCTCGGCTCCTTTCTGTAACAATATGCTACCCAAACAGCTAAAGCATGTTTTCTTAAAGGAAGCGAAGGCTAGAAACCCCTAAACCAAAGACTTTTGTGTCCGCCCACCCCCACGGGTTGGTATGTCTTTAAACAAATTCGGTCTGGGCATATCTGTGTCCAGGCATCCCCATTTTTAGAAAAAAGGTCTGATGCCTGAGAATTGTTCATTCAAGTTTGATACCACCAGGAACCAGTTCTGACACAAGACCCACCAATCAATAATAATAATTAATAATAAAGTAGTGTTGGATACATATATAGTCAGATTTAAAACAAACAAACAAAAAAGTGTCAACACCCAATTACCTGAAACACATCCTTTTAATCTTCTACATACAATGTCTTATTTGAAAATATAGAATATGCCCCGGGAGGTTACAATTGTCCACTAATATGACTACATATTGCACGGCCTAAAATAGGCTGAAAACGTGGTCCGTCCGATAGTAAAGTTTACAAAGTGCAAACGGGTGTCAAAAATAGCCAAGTGTCAGATCTGCTGGAGTATCTGCACTCTGGCACATGCTCACAGTCACAGCTGTTAATATATTCTCTGCGTCCAAGTAAAAGGTTTCCTAACAGTTGATGAGAGAAAGAGAGAGAGAGAGAGAGAACTGACTGCCCACACCTCGGGCTTCAGAACAGACAGACACTAACAACTCAACAGTAAAACAAAACTTGTCAATGATTCCAAAACTCCAAAAAAGAGTCCAGTGCCTTTTAAACAGAGACCCTTTAAAGCCAGGTCATTAGGGGTGGCCGGCGCCCTCACGAATCCCCTCCCCCTATTATCATCCACAAATGCCTTTGGTTTATTATTGTGGGTTTTGTTTTAGCAAGACAACATACAGGTTCTTCAAAACACTGCTAAGTCAGATCACTTCACACATGCAGGAAGAGCAGAAAAACAAAGGAGATTCCAAGGATGACATCCCACGAAAGTGTGCCAATACCCCGGTGAAGTAACACACACACACACACACACACACACACACACATACACACGCACTTTGTCACCCGGATTACAAGTAAAGAGGGGAGTTCGGCGGCTCCAGTGGCCCTTGCCTACCTTGGTCATTGTCTTTTTTGGAAAACTGATGTCCCTCCTGTTCCAGCCACATCCATTCCTCCTCCGCTAAGCTACTGAGAACCCGCCGCGCTGTCCCGCAGGCCTCCGGCCACACGTGTATTAATAGCGACCAGGGTCACAAGACACATCCTAACGGGGGAGCATTCTTCAAACGACTGCAATACCTACACACAACTGTGGCTGCGGAGGAGCGAGCAGCAGATAGGGTTTCAAAACACCATCTGCGGGGTGTGCACCCACCCCCTGACCACGCACAGCCTCTGCTGCTGGTCCCACCCGGCCATCGGCATGGGGGAGGGGGGTCTCCCTGGGGAGGGAGGGGGCCTCCCTCTGCCTTGTCCCTTTTTGGGCTGTGGGGAGGGCTGCAGGGAGCAGACACCCTCCTGGAGAAGAGCAGAAACCCCCCTCCCCGCAGCCCGCCCCTCCTGGGCTTCTCCCCCACCAGCAGCGCCTCCGCTGGCCGCCACCCGCCAGGAACCGGCCAGGCTCCAAAGACAACATTTTCCCCAGGAAATGGACGGGCACTCCATCTCCAGAGCCCGACAGCTTCGGGAACCCGGCAGACTTCTTCTGTTTAACGAAATGATTTCCATGGTCTGCCTACGACATCCGAGGAGGACTATTGTGATCCAGGGGCTGAGACTGGAATCCAACGCGTTCTTTACTTTCTCTCACACAAGCAGCTTTCTTTAAAACACACACACACACACACACACACACACACACACTCACACACACAGACCTCATCCCGGGGCTCCGCCATCATCTGACAGCTCTCCTCCCTGGTGAAGGAAATGCCCAGGACACGCCGATGACAAGGCACGCAATCCAGAACAGAAACCACACTTCCAAGTTGAGCTCCATCCCTCAGGCAAAGGGCTCTGCCCACACACACACTGGGGCTCAGCTCTCCAAACACACCTCCCGAGTTGTTGTTGTTGTTTTTAAAGGAAGGACTCCCACACCCCGTACCCCTGAACCTAGATCTTGGTGGCTCGCTCTCTCTCTCTCTCTCTCTCTCTCTGCCACTCTCTTCCACCTATCACCCCTGTCCCCCCAGCCTCTGCCCCAGAAGGCACAGCACACCCTGGGGCAGGAGGGCTCTCCCAGCCTCATCCAAAGGCAGCGTCCTTCCCACTCCGATCTGATCGGAGGGGGAGAGGGGGCGCGGGGCTCACTCACCGGGCATCCTGGGGGGCAGGGTCCGCGGGGAGAGCCCGCCTGCCTGCCGGGCAGCCTCAGGCCCGGAGCTGCGGAATGAGCGAGGCCGGGCAGCGCGGGGCCGGCAGACGGGGCTGGGGTGGCATCGCCCCCCGCAGGGCGCTGGGCGCGTGCGCCTGCCAGGCGGAGACAGATGGAGAGCTGACACTCCGGGCTGCACTTGAAGCAGAAAGGCGGATGATGACAGGAGCACATGTGGCCCTGAACCCAGCCCCTGTCTCTCCAGGCAGAACAATGACAGGGATGTGTGTGTGTGTGTGTGTGCAGAGGACTGCAACCGTGGCCTCCCCTTCTCTCTCTCTCTCTCTCTCTCTCTCTCTCTCTCTCTCTCTCTCTCTCTGTCTGTCTCTTTCTTCTCTCTCTCTCAGAAGTTCCAGAGCTCCAAAGAACAGACAGTAAAAAAAAAAAAAAAAGGCAGAATGATAAGCTAAATGCTGAATAATTCATTCGCCGCCACCCCCAGCCCGTTACCAGTTAACCCTTCTTCTGCCAAGAGAATGACAAGGAGACATTCCCCCTCCCTCCCCTCCCCCCCTCTCCCTCCTCCCTCCTCTAGAAAGGATTCCTCTTCATCTTCCCATCGTGGTGAACTCTCTTCACAACACAAAAATCAGGGACACCAACTTCAAAGCTTGTTTATGGAACTGGAAACCCCAAACAGGGGGGAGATGTATTTGTAAGACTTTGGGTCCGGGACGCCGGCTGATCACGCAGAGCTGAGTACCAGATCCTGCCTTTTGTCAGCGTCCCGGTGACGTGTGTGCACAGATCGCTCTCCAAAAAGCAGGCCCTTCTCCCCTACACACGTGCTTTTAACCCCCGTGATCCCTGCGCTGATCCCTCCGCACACTGTCAGCTCTCTCTCCCCCGGCCCGCCTGGAGGGCCCTCTGGGGAATGAAAACTACATCTTCACTGGAAAACAAGAAGAAGAAGGGGGAAAAAAGGCTTTTCAAAGGCTGAACTGTCCTGTCCTCCTGAGTTTTTAATTTTTTTTATTTTCGCTCACCCTTCAATGCTGATCCGTCTCATGACAACACATGCCCAGCCCAGCACAGTGGACTCTTCCCACGAAGCGTTAATGGACACCATGATACATAAACGCCACGGCTTTGTTACTGGGCTTTATCTGAAGCTGGCTATTCTCCTCCCAGCGGGCCCTCTGCCGTCCTTTGTAAAACATCCTCGCCTGTCTGCCTTGCCTGCTTTTTCCCCCTTACACGCACAAAAAAAATGCCAGGCTGGAGAAAAACACCGTCCTCCTCTCCAGCTCGTCCCCCTCCCACACTGGCACGTCCTTCCCTTCTCGGGTCTGTGTGTGTTGTAACACCAGGGCGGCACGTGGTGGGCCGGATGGAGGCCTCCTCCCGGCTCCCCTTCCCCAGGCCTGTCCCACCCCCTGTCCACTTGCAAACAGCTCTGCCCAGGAGCCTCTGTCAGGCCTGCAAGTTCAAGGGGCATGGCAGCCTGATCGTCCCCTTTAACCCTTGCCATCCCTTCTCAGCCTTCCTCTGCTTACTCTACCCTTCCCGCGTGCTTTTAGGCTTTGTCAGCTCTGTCCCCCCTGCCCCCCACCACCTCCTGGGGGCCTCAAAGAAATCAGAAAGCTCACAGCCAGGGACTCCGACTTCTCCCTACTCCCCATGCCTGCACTTGTGTGCAAGAGTGCACACAGCCTGTTTCAGAGCATACCCACCCACGTGCACACACCCTGCAAACCCTACAAACAAATCGTCTTTAGTCAGCAGCGTCAGTCCCTAAACACTTCTACGCACCCCCCCCCCCCAATTCTGCACCCTAGAAGCGCGGCTGCATCTAGGGAACCCCTCAGAATCCATCACTGCCGGGACAATCTGGGAAAGGGCTGTAACTCATAATGATGGCTCTGTTCTGTCACCGGCGGTATCCTGCACCCTATTTATGGGGCCAATCTTTTTGTTCGTCTTAGTTAGATGTCAGTGGTAATGAGGTTCTGTGTAATGGATTTCGGGGTAGTTAAGCACCAGGCGCAAACATCCTATGACGGAGAGCTTCCCAGCAGGCGTGAGAGTGGTGATCAATTAAGTCCTGCAAAGAAGGGCCTTGCTGGAACCCAGCGTCCTAAACCTGTATGTCTTCACTTAAAAAAAAAAAAAAAAAAGTGTTCTGTTTTTTTTTTTAAAGCCACTCAATGATTTTTTTTTTTAATACTTTTTAACCTGTGCTTGAAAGAAAACATTTTCACAGTGGGACACTTTCATCAATATGCATGGCGAATCCCTTCTGAAATAGAAAATCATACGACAGAAAAATGCATTCAATGTTGGGAAAACTGGCTGATAGCGGTTTTGAAACTAGGTCTTAATATCGGCGCCACTGCAAGCCGCTAAACCACAGCTCAGAAAATGAGACTTCCATGTGCGTGTGATTACGTATCTCTCCTATGTGTAAAAAAGCTTTTTAAGCTGCTATCTGACTGCAGTAATTGCCACTTTAGATTGATCCGCGTCAACAGAGCCTGGGTCCCTGGAGCTTCTCACCTAGAAACCTGCCTGCGGGAGGGGCCTGGCGGAGTGTGTGTGACCGGAGACCAGTCCAGCCTTTCCTCCGGGAACCAGCTGCTGCTTCTTCTGGTTCTATAACCAGGGAGGCAAGCAAAGCCTCAACCCTACTCGGCAGCTCACCTTGAACATGGACACCTGCGTACGTAGTTCTGTGTAGTCACTTAGACAAAAATAACTTCCCCTTTAATAAAACAACAACAACAACAAAACATAGACACATAGGAGCCAAGATCTCTAATGTCCAAACTGTATAATACAAATGGATACTCAATAACATGACAAATGCATGTATGTATGTATGTATGTATGTATGTGAATGGGAGATGGGTGGGGATTTGGAGGTGGGGGGCAGAATCTGAATTGCAAAAGTTTTCTCCAGTACAAAACCCTGCATCACCACTGGAAAAGGTATTTTTTAAAATTAGATATACTCCAAACAATCACAAGGGATAGACACATGGCTGACCTCAAGAAAGCCATGCCAGTAAGCCGTGTCTTTCCATTAAGAACACGGTTTGGCTCGGTGGATAGAGCGTCGGCCTGTGGACTGAAGGGTCCCAGGTTCAATTCCGGTCAAGGGCATGTACCTCGGTTGCGGGCACATCCCCAATAGGGGGTGTGCAAGAGGCAGCTGATGGATGATTCTTTCTCATCGATGTTTCTAACTCTCTATCCCTCTCCCTTCCTCTCTGCAAAAATCAATAAAATATATTTTTTTAAAAATAAAAAAAACACCTGACTTACCAGGAAGGTCTAGCGGCCTATGAAAATCGTCCGCGATTAATGGAAAGCTCTCTACCCAGTGAGGGCCAGACTGGCCTTCCAGCTTCTCCACTTCCTGAAGGTTTTCTCCACTTTCCTCCCTGCTCCTGGCAGGCCTCGCCTCCACACAGCAGGCATGAAGGGAGTTCATTCAAAGGCGCTGCGACCTCATTGATCCTAATTGAAAGCAATACACCCAGACCAACACGTCCCTGCCCCATCTGCTCCGGCCTGCCACCAGCCATTCAGGACGAGAGAATTAATAGTTTCGGATATTCTAACGGACCCCGTAAAGGCGCTCCTGTAAGCGGGGCTGCGTTAACAACGCGGAAAGGGGGGCGATGTGGGTTCAAGTGGAGCCTTTTACCCCGCGCTGCCCGGGACAAAGCCGAAGAAGGCTCATTCTGGCTTCTTACGTGCAAGACTTGAGAAACTGAATGAGGAGGCGCTGGATGGTCAGCCGGAGAGCACTGATGAATGGTCATGAGGGACCCCCTGCTCCCCCTGCCCGCTCCTGGAGGGGAGACTCCGCCCCAAAGTGGCATCCCGGCCTGAAAGGGGTGGACCCCGCGATTTCCACGTCAGACAACTGGCCACCAAACGAGGCTGACACGTTGGAAAATAATGTTTTATGGGCGAGTGGTAACAAATAAAATGGACGCATTAGCTCTGCTTTCAAATTCAAATGGGCTGGATTTGTCCGAGCCCAAAGGGGCTGATTTTCCACCCAGCTGGAGGCTATTAGGGCTTTGCAAAGGCAGCCGCTGGCAGGGCAGACCCACCTCGCTGGGGAGCTGTGGGGGCTGCGAGGGACACGGGGACCCCTCTTTTAGGCCATTTCCTAACTGATGCTCACGGGGACAGTCCGTTAGCTAGACACCGCCGCCCCCCGGAAAAAAAGGCTCATGCATCTGGTTCTGCCCCTGGGAGACATCGGACACTGGACGAAATAAAGGCCATACGTAACGGGTCGTCTCGTGGCAGAGATAAGTCCCATCATGTTGTGTCTACAAGGAAACATAGTTTGTGTGTTCGGTAAGAAGTCAGAGGGATGGGGGGGGGGGGCAGAAAGTTCATTAACGTGTTTCATAAAGGTCAGGGAATGGCTATCGTTATTTAAACTTCTTCCTATACATGTTTGTGGTCAACAACTTACACTCTTTCCCGCTGTTTCCGTCCAATACCTGTTCCTCGGGAAGAAATGACTGGCCAGCAATAGCATGTCCTGGACTGTCAACCAGTCCACAGAAGAGCTCCCAAGAACAGAGACAGGACAGCCATTTAAACAATCTGAAGGGCTGCGCTGGCCGGTGTGGCTCAGTGGATAGAGCATCGGCCTGTGGACTGAAGGGTCCCAGGTTCGATTCTGGTCAAGGGCATGTACCTTGGTTGCGGGCGCATCCCCGGTAGGGGGTGTGCAGGAGGCAGCTGATGGATGTTTCTAACTCTCTAGCCCTCTCCCTTCCTCTCTGTAAAAAAAATCAATAAAATATATATTTTTTAAAAATCTGAAGGGTGTATGAACACTGTGGGGTCAAAGGGTTAGTTAGGGCCCCCCAGGAAGTCTCAGGGCTAGCAGCAAGATGGAATACTGTAAGAGAGAATGTACTAGAGAGAAGAAACTTGTTTTAATACGCCCGCCATCACAGAAGCAGAAAAGCTTCAGTGCTTGGATCATCTGAGAGCTAGTGACAGAGCACCATCCCGCAGGGTACCGTGAAGGACATACAGACATCTGTCCAGGAATCCTGATCTCCAGGGGCAAGTGGCAGGCCCAGAGCTCCAAGTCATGACCCTTCCCTTCACCTGCGACATGTCAAACTGGAGGACCGCGTAGGTCACTTTGATTTCTGTAGCCTCTTCAGTTAATGTATGTGAATAGTGTGATCTGAACTGCAATGTGAAGGTTCCAACCATAACATGTTTTATAAATAATAATAATAATGAAAACCTCAAGTCTCTGTGTTTTTCCATCTTCCATGTGTCAGAATAAAATGTTACAGTATTTCAACCA